TTCTCATCCAAGTTCAGCGCCACACAATATGTACATGGATTCACATGTGCAGAGATGCATTAATTTGAAACGTCAACTCGTCAAGGTCAGGTCAAGAAATTTCTTCTAAGATATATTTTAAACTTAAATGATTTACAAGAAAGAGTTGAATGTATGAAGCTACACATTCGTTGCGAAAAAGAGTACTGACAAAATATGCAGGTATATACTCAATCACCAAGGCTTCTATCTACCCTGTAGCATTGTTATAGTCACTTCATTTCTTGATTGCGTTTGCCCGCTAATTGATGAAGAGTTACTTTCGTTAGTGATCCTACCTGTGTAAAATCCGGGTTGTTTAGGTTGTGGCAATGGAAGTTGCTCACTGTCCAGCATCAACAAAACTGAAGACATTGAAGGCCTGTCTTCAGAACGTTCTTGCACACACAAGAGTCCTACCTGTATGCACCTCAAAACCTCAGATTTGACAATTGATTTCTCAATGAGAACATCCACCAGCTGCAATGCCTGGTCTTCATTCCAAAGATTCCATGCCTAAAATAATTCAGATAATTCCATGAGAAAAATGGAGTTTGGTTTTAAGTGGAAAAGTAAGAGACACAAGTTGTAAACTCACATGTCCTATGAGGTTAAGGTCATGGTCAGGATGGTAAAATCCTCTGTTCCTCTTCCCACTTATGATCTCTAACACCAATACTCCAAAACTAAAGACATCTGATTTAACTGAGAAGAGTCCATCTATTGCATACTCAGGAGACATGTAACCACTACACAAACAAATCATAAAATGCCATGGAACATGAGGCTTGTGTGAGTAGATACATAAATGTGTCTCGGCTGTGCCCCATGTATTGCAAAGAGAGAACGAGCGACAGTTATTTTTATACTTACTATGTACCAACTACCCTTTTTGTACTTGCTTCAGATTGATCGCCTCTGAACATTCTTGCCAAGCCAAAATCAAATATTCTGGGATGCAGTTCACTATCCAAGAGAATGTTGCTAGCTTTAAGATCCCTATGAATGATTCTCAGCCTTGAGTCTCGATGAAGATAAAGAAGTCCTCTAGCAATCCCTACTATGATGTCAAAGCGCTTCTGCCAGTCAAGTGAAACACCACATGTTTGATCTGCATCATTTGATAAAATTTTAAGTACAGCAAAAAGTAGCTATATGTGAAAAGTGAGAATCTTGTTCAAGGGAACTAACTGAATAGATACAAGTCCAAACTTCTGTTGGGCATATATTCATAGACCAGCATCTTTTCATCATGGTGGATACAACAACCCAAGAGTCGAACAAGATTTCTGTGCTGAAGTTTTGCAATGAAGATAACCTCATTCTTGAACTCTTGAAGTCCTTGTCCTGAATCTTTTGCAAGCCTTTTTACTGCTATTTCTTTCCCCGTTGGGAGCACTCCCTGTAGTTTATTAAGATTTCATATCAGGTGACAAAGTAGGAAAGCAAAGTCAAAGTTTGCACAGTGAACTCAAATTTTGTAGATAGGAAGGAAGTAGTATTACCTTGTAAACATGACCAAAACCACCTTCTCCAACCTTGTTTTCTACAGAAAAGTCGTTAGTGGCAGTTGCAATAGCAACCAAATCAAATGAAGGCAGGTCTACTTCTTCCTCACCAATAGTGGGCTGGACATCTTGATCGGGATCATTTTCTCTTTTTACTGTCAAAGGAGGAAACGACACACATCTAAATTTGCATCCAAGATTTATCAATTTATCAAACAACAGAGGAGCATTAGACTCTGGACACTTATAACAAGAATCCTTAATATTACCTTTTCTCCTCTTATATCCCGTTATCAAATAATAGCTTATTGAACCCAGCAACAGGACCCCAAAAACTGCAGGGACGATGATGATCAGTGTCCCCCATCTGGCCTTGCTTTCAGATCCTTTAATTATCAAAACATAAATGTCATTCTTCTTAAAACTACAAAACTAAATTCCATTCATCTTATGCAAAGAACTTAGATTCTGTTAATATACTTACCAAGTTCAGAAGCATCCATATATTTTGACATACAAATCGTTCCCACCTTTATTGTACTCTCTCATGTCAAGCAAGCTCCCAAACCACATCACACATCTGCTAACATCAGTTATAGCGTAAGCTACACAGGAACAGTTTCTCAAGCAAGCCTGATTGCAGTCTGTTTGAGTCATATCTGTCCTATTTGACCACAACCGTGAATTGTCTGGCAACTTCAACATGGAAAACTTCTTGAATCCACATCCATTATCCTTGCTACAATTCAATGGAGTCCTCGGAATGCATCCTCCAAACCAATCAAAAGTATTCCAGTCACGTGGTATTTTTGGATCAAACCCTGATAAGCATCTGCAATGTGGTTCCATGTTCACATAGCAAAGGCCATAAGGACCACAGAAGCCATATTCATCACACTGATCTCTCTGCAAAGTGAATATAGCAATCCACTCCCCACGCCAAGCATTCCAGGTAAGAAGCTGACTTGATCCTGACTGGTTTAATACACATCTTGAAATCCTGTCGCCCTTGTCTTCAAATGAATAGTAGACAAAAGTTGAGTTGACAATGAAGAAAGAATTGGTGACTGTGGTTTCTTCAACTTGTAAGAGACCAAATCGGTTACCATCCCAAGGACCACTCCGGTAAACTATATCAGATCCTCTTCGGAGAACAAACTGTGGAAGGCCTTGAATTTCTAGCTTGTGGTTGTATTCTCCAATGGATGGATCTTCCAGACTCTTCCATGAAGTCAAGAACCAGCTCTGATTTGTTAACAGGCTCCATCCAAACTTCATGCCTGGAATAATGGTGTCACATGGATGATCAAAGCTCTGCCAGAAGAAGCTGCCACTTTCAGTATCCTTAACAACAAGATTCCCTGTGTCCAAAAGTTGCAAAACAGAATTGTTCGAAGGAGTGGATGAATTAGAAGACCAAATGGGGATGGTTGATTGGTTCCCGACAATGAAGATGTTCCCAGTAGCTGCTACAGAAAGGCCACCAGATGAATCAATGAGAGGACTATTCCTGTTGGCCACCCAAACAACCGTTTGCGGTGAGATATTCTTGAACCAGATTCCAACATACCGGTTGCTAGAATTCCAAGGACTGAAAAATCCCAACTCAAATTTTTGTCCCAAGGAAACGAGATTTTCACCATTCTCTATGATGGTTTGGTTTGGCAATAGGGTGTCAGTTGCCCCAGAGGATTCCAAAGAGAGAAACCCAAAAATTAGGAAAAAAGAGAAGATAACCGCCATGGATGAAGATGATTCTCAATCACGGCAGCTCCAACGTGAAGTTAAAGAAAACTTGATAAGGATTCGGTTTCCTTGAATAAATCTCGAGTTTGACTTTTGTAAACAGAAATAATAAGTGTTAAGTGTGCTTTTTTGGTATAGCATCCAATCTAGCTCAATTATAAATTAATTAAAATTTAATATAATTTTTAAATATTATAAATTAATAAAAAAAAATAGCAATAAGAAATGTAATACTCATGTAATAAAGCCTCATATAGGACCGAAGAGTCAATCATGGCGGCTCGAATATGATGTTAATGAAAACTTGATAATAATAGCAATAGGAAACATAATACGTATATAAACACAAGCCGCATATAAGAGCTAGATAAGGGTCAAAGTCTCTGCTCCATGGGCAAAATTGAACCAGGCCATTCAGAAATAGGAGAACACCAGGGTCAGTTCAGCTCTATTATGTCAGTTTTGAGTTTTACCTTTGCAGTTTTCATGGTCTGGATATATCATTTTCCCAATCAAAGAGTCAATGTCCTGGTGCGTACGGTGTCTGGAACAGATAATAGTAGCAGAAGAGCCACATATTGTACTTCTGACAATATTTTGAAGATAATTGTTTCAACGTTCAACAAACTTGTGGAAATAGCATTGGAATAAATATATATAGGCAAGACCCCTGCATCCACTCTTCCAAAAAAAAGTTAAGTAGGGATGTATTCACGATTAAAAAATATAGGAATAAATTATTTTTTAAAAATTAAAATTATAATTGAAGATAAATAATTTATTTTTTAATTGATGATATTAATTTTTTATTAAAAAATATTTACGTGACAAATATAATCTATTAAAAATAAATAATTTATTTTAATTTATAATTTAAAAAAATAATTTATCCTTATAATTTTTTTAAAAGTGAATTTGTTTCTACTCTTTTTTTTTTAGATGACTTTGAAAATTCTTTCGATTATATAAAAGTACGGAAATTTGGGTTCTATGAAATTTTACCTAAAAGTTTGGTGGGTTGGTAATTTGACACCTTGAAAGTTGAAACCCCAAACAAAAAACTGCAATTTTCAAGCTAGAAAAAGAAAGTGAGGATGATGCAAATTTGTTTACTTTCATGTCCCATAAGGCTGAGGTTCTGCAGGGTTAAACTCCCCAATTC